AGGAACAACTCGTTCAAGCGCTCAAAGAGTGGAGATGCAGATGCGGCGAAGAATCGAAGAAGAAGAAAGAATCTCAGCGTGAGATGGAGCAGCAAATCTATTACAGGCGAGCTATTTTTAACCATTATCTCAGCAAATCTACAAGTTGGTAAACATATTTCGATTGTAAAGTGCAGTGATGAAACACACCGTAAATCCACCAACCAGACCAGATTCCGGTTTAAGTACTTCATAATTTACAGCGAGATGATCGTTGATTACGACACCAAGGGGAATCGCATCTAATCTAATCTAAGTGAAACACGACAAAAAACTGATGCTTTACCTGTGATACCCTAGAATATTTTTCAAGGTGGTGGCATTGAGGAAGGGCTCGAAGTATTCATTGGCGTGCGCCGCCTCCAAGCCGGATACCGGCCGCCCCCTTAAATGGGGCAGAGTGCCCCCGCCGCTGTGGCGCTCCATTCTTCTGGGCTACGTGCTGTGGACCATTTGAGGCGGACTGGGCTTTAATCTGCAACAAAAACCCAATTGTGAGGCAACAGTCGGGTTCAAACACGCTCTTAAGTTTAATTAGAAACCGAATGTTTCTGAAAGTTTACGAACTTAGTTGGTGGATATTTAGGAAATTTCGTAATTTGGAATTTTGCGTAAGTGTATATCGCTGTTGAAAATCTCCAGAGCGTGCCCATCAACGTGAAATGGCCGAGTTTGTTCATCAACCGGCTGAATAATTCTGTAAAATTTGGATTTAATGAACGCCGCTCAAGTGGCAATAGGGTGTTATCATTGTATCAAAAATTCCTACAAACTGAACATTAATCTATACTACCTACATATCTATTTAAGTGCATAATCATGAGGAACGGTTAGAAAGAGTTTGTTTGGAGCACTTATTGAGGTCTTCTTGCATCCTGGCACAAAACGCCACTTAGTATGTGATCCATACATGTCCCTATTTTCCATTATGCAAGCCAATAATAATCAATAAAATAATGATAATCACACTAGCTTAAATAATAAATCAAAGCTGCGAAAACAACAAAATAAGCACGAGACACTTTGTTGATATGACCTGCTACGTCACAATCGCGATAGGCAACCCACGATACGGATTCGGCGTTTTTGGCGGAAAATATCTGATTTGAATTTACATTCGCTTTAAAATTATCATGGAGACTTTTTGCAAACAAATTGGGAAACACCCTGTTGGCTTATGCCAATATTATCGTTCTTATTAATTTGATAAGCACTAGGGGGCAATTCCGCATTCAATTCGAGTTTATTATTAATTGGTGCATATAGAGAAATTTCGCTTTTTGCGCCGGCGAAATCGTTAAATAACGTGCGGAGTTTTAGAAGGCGATTCATTCAAGTGCGGATGGAACTTGTGGAGCAGTTGATTTGGGCATCAAAGCGCTAATTTCCAAGCAACAAGAGAGTGAAACTGCAATTAGCAATGTTTACTAAAGACACTTTTTATTCAACGCGAATATAAAAGGTAAAAACTGCAATTTTTTCGCCAGTCCTGCCGTTCCGGTGCGCATCACACTTTCTTTTCAGCTTTATGGGCCCATCGAATCGCGGCCTTTTAAAGAAAAGCCCGATTTTCCTTAACTTGCAAGAGAAATCATTGCATTTGGAAACTCGTTAGCAAACCGCTCCATAAAAACCCCAAACATTGCAAAGCTTTTAAGTTCCAATTGAAGAAACAACACGACCCAGATATGAATGTTTCGACCGACAAAAAATCGAGCAACACAAATACCAAAATCGATAAAGTAGGTCTAAATTTGTAATTCATCCACACAATGTGCGGAATCAATTAGCGGTGCTTTTAATACGTTTTCGATGTTCTCAATGGGGAAAAAATGGGAGCAATTGGCGCTTTAATGCCAGTGATTATTCAAAGACTGATTACCATTGAAAGCAACACAATCAGCAACATTAACTGCAGAACTTTGTTCAAGGTTTCATTAGATATACATGGTTGGGATTTAGTTAAAGATTCGAAGAAACAGCGAGGAAATCTTCAATGTTTCTGGATTAGAAGGTTGCGCGAAAAACTCGATTTTTCACCCATTTGCACCTGCCACAGCAGTATTTTCAACCAAAAATAGTAGTTTTCGATACAAGGGCGAAAAACGACATTTTTCGCCCTCGTATCGAACACTATTTTTTATTCGAATGAAAGATTACACGAATAATAA